TTCATATATGTGCATAAGAATAGCCGAACTGCTCAGCCAGCTTCTTTTTCAGCACCTCTGCAACTTCTTCGAGGCTAATGGCCCGGCCCAATTCGCGTTCCATTGAAGTTACGGCTTTATCGTCAATTCCACAAGGGACGATATGAGAAAAATAAGATAAGTCCGAATTCACGTTGAATCCGATTCCGTGCATGGTTACCCAACGGGAACTTTTCACACCCATCGCGCAGATTTTTCTCGCTGTTGGTTTATCTCCATCAATCCAAACACCTGTTAAGCCGTCAACACGACTGCTTTCAATTCCGTATTCTGCCAATGTTTGAATCACGGCTTCTTCCAAAAATCTCAGGTATTTGTGAATATCAGAGAAAAAATGGTCAAGATCGAAGATAGGATAAGCGACCAATTGTCCAGGACCGTGATATGTAATATCTCCACCACGATTAATCTCGTAATACGTGGCGTTGTGATCCTTCAACCCTTCCTCGTTAAGGAGTAAATGCTCTTTGTCACCACTTTTTCCAAGGGTATACACGTGCGGGTGCTGACAAAACAACAAGTAATTCTTGGTTGGCTCAGAACTTGTTCCGTTTCTAAGCTCAATCTTTTGATCAATCGTTGATCGGAAAAGTTTTTCCTGATAGTCCCAGGCTTCTTTGTAATCAATTAGCCCCAGGTTCTCAAAAATCACTTCCGGCATAGCTCTCGTTATTTAAAGTCGGCCAGTGATCCTTTTAGATAATCGATCACGGCAATATCAATCGGGTCTACTTCTTTTAGGTCAGATAAGTATAGTGACGCCCAATCTACAATGTTGATCAGGTAAATCGACCGTTCAATACGATTGTTTCCTTTCGCTTGAATCGTCATCACTTTACTGGATTTTCCTGTAATCACTTCTTTAGTGATTCCCATACGCTTCTCATTGCGTGGGTTCATGTCTGTTTCGAAGAAAACCGTTGCAAAACGATCGTCTCCTCCACCCCATCCAACAAGCTCGTTGTGGTTCATTTCAGGAATCACATGATGCCAACACAACATTTTGCTGTTCTCGTTGAACTGCTGACGCGCACGAATCAACACCGGCTCATAATCCGTTGTTCCGTACAAAATCCCAACGTTTCCTTTCAGGAACTTCGCAAGATTCATTGCTTCTTCCTTAATCGCTGCCTCTTCAGCAACAATCAATTGGCGCGCATCTTCCACGTGTTTAAGTTCATCACCAGCGATCAA